TTTTATTTTTTTTAAATTTTTTTTTTCTTTCTCGTCTTTTTTAACTCCTTTGAATTATTTGTAGAGACTGCTGTCACGAATTGTTGGGACACATGCCGCTTCTAGCGAATCCAAGTTTCGCCCAATTCTCGCAGGAACTTGGACTTGCTTCGCTCGGAGCTTCGGACGAAGACATCAATAAATTGGCAACTGTAAGTGTTCCAGACAGTTCCTCGGTCTCATCAAAAATTTAGACAAACTTATTTCACGAGTGTGAAGAACTTCGTACTGAATATTAATATCTACGAATAAGAATAAAATTTATTAAAACAAAGAGTTTATATTTAAACATATTTTAAAACGATCGACATGAAAGATCATTAGCTGTATTACATTCTTTTCTATTTTGTGTTTATCTTTAGCTCTATTTCTTCACTGTGGAATTTGGATTATGTAAGCAAGATGGCATACTTCGTGTCTACGGCGCTGGTTTATTGTCTTCCGTCGCTGAACTCAAACATGCAGTTTCCGTGCCCGAGAAAACGTTCCGATTTGACCCGGAAATGACTTGCAAACAGGAATGCATCATCACTGCGTTCCAAAATGCGTATTATTACACGGATAGCTTTGAAGAGGCGAAAGAAAAAATGCGGTAATTCCGTGAGCGATTTATCTTTACGAAAAACTCTAAAGTATTATATAAATATTATAAATTTCAAAATACGACGAGAAAACGGGGGATTGAACGGAATATGAATTTATGTTTTCAGAGCTTTTGCAAATCAAATACAGCGTCCATTTGGATTACGCTATAATCCCTATACACAATCAGTAGAAGTTCTCACGGATGCTCAAAAAATCACGGCAGTGGTCAGTGAACTTAGGGGTGACCTGTGTATCGTGTCGAATGCCCTGAGGAAGATACACGAACAAGACGATACAGTGGACGTTGAAAGGATAACTAATCTTTTAACGCAAGGTATCGAATTGCCTCAAGATACCTCGTCCTCCGACAGCGATATTGACAAAAGTCCTAATGTCGAGGCGCCTGAGAATTCAATAAAAAATCAGAATGAAAACTATTCTTGCGACGACATGATTAAGTAGAATTCGTTTTATAGACAATTAAGATTACATGTTTATTGTAAATTGTTTTTAATTTATGAACATTGTTTCTGTGAACGTAGTCTGCAAATAGAATTATATGTAGATACATGATGATACATGAGTTCAAAGTTATATAATAATATATGACGTGTGGATAAATAGTTGTTTGTGCTTGTAGAAAATTACATTTAAATTAGGGAATTATCAAAGTTGTTGCACTGCGTAGGAAGAAAATAAATAAAAACTTGCATGAAGCATAATAATCAAAAGTCACTCTACTAATTTGTTAATTTTCATCATAAAATAGCAGGCAATGCATCTAACGTGTAAGACAGATTGTTCAGAAAAATCTGTCTATGTTTTCTTGGAAAATAATTTTTCTTTTTCCTTTAGTTTACTTTAAAAATAATATATTGAATTACTTGCAATAAATACATATCAACAATCAAAATTCAAAAACTTACATTTAATTTTCAATTTTCTTTATTTGTCAAACATTGAAATATCATGATTATTTTTTCCACACATTAATTTCATGTATCGTTCATATTTTAATTATACCATTGACTAAAAATAGAATAGACCAGACGTGAAATGGAATTTCGTGTCTCAGAGTCTGAAATACCGACCGAGAAAAAAAATCACTGCTAGCGCACTCTATGATTAAACAACAGTGAGTTGGAGAACTAGTGAATGCGCAATATGATTTTTGAGACCCATTACAATTGTCAAATTTTCAATACCGAAATGTAAAGCTCGTGTGTTATACCAAGTAAAATGTTTAATTATATCTCCAGATTCCAAAACATGAGATTAGTATTTAAAATTATTCCATTTTTTATTATGTATTTATGCATATGTCAGAAAGAACTCTATTCGTGTTTTACGAATTCATCGACTGATTTTACGTTGGAAATGATAAAATCAATACTTATAACACGATTTCTTATTTATTGAAATTTAAGGATGAAATATATTTATAATGGACCTGATATTTAATCAAAAAGTAAACATAGAATAGGTCTATTGGATTTTATCAAATCATATGTTTTGAAACATCCATCAAAAGTCTACGATCTTCTACAATATTTAAAAATGCACTATACGTCATACGTCATCATAAAAAAATTCAATCTATAATTTCAGAAATCAACGATCTCCCTAACTCGACAAATCCTTTAATTACATAAAAACTAAGTCACGATCGCACCCGATTAGTTTTTATGTAATTAATCATATTATTACTCATATTATTTGTTAAATAATTCATAATTGTATCGCAGTAGTAATTGCAATTAGTAATTGTATCACAAATAATGATTGCTCTGATCTCAACACGTTGAGGTTGCTACGTATTAAACACCATCCTTGTCCCATCCACCCTTCTTTTAAAAACAAATTTTATTCAATAAAAAAAAAAGAAACTCCTTTTGATATGCAAAATGTTCTGTTCAATTTCTTACCATTGTGCAAACGAACAGCAAAAGGACTTTTAAGAAAAACCCAATGAAAAGTAAACCAGAGCACAATATATTAAAATATAAATCAAAGTTTAAATTGAAAATAATTATAACTAAGTTATAACTGGTTTAAAATACTTTACATATTTAAAGAGAAGATAAAAATTCTTTCAAAAAACAAACATTCTATAGAATGTAACTAAAACTAAACGCATGCAAAGTTAAGATGCAAGCATCCTATAA